ACGATACAGTAAACCACGGTTTATGAAACCGGTGATAACCGCTATATCGGAAATCGCGGTTACGATTCAGTAAACCGCGGTTTATGAAACCGGTGATAACCACTATATTGGAAACCGCCGTTATGATACAGTAAACCGCGGTTTATGAAACCGGTGATAACCGCTATATTTGAAACCGCGGTTATGATGCAGTAAAGCGCAGTTTATAAAACCTCTAATAACCGCTAAATTTGAAACCGCGGTTACGAGTGCACACACCGCGGTTTTTCGTGGATGCGGTGCAAAAAACCGCTGTGAACCGCGGTTTTCAGCGGTTATCGAATTGACACCGCGGTGGAGTGCGATGAAACCGCGGTTTTCGTATAAAAATTTTTCCGTGGGTACTATATTCAATCTAGAATTTTTATAATTGATTTAGATTTAAAAAGAAAAAAAAAATTTATCTATCTATCTATATATATATATAGATAGACAAACAAACAAATATTCCTGTTCGATGAACACTTTATGATAATGATTCGATCTCAATTTCATGATTTTATTCTTGATTACTAAACAAATTAAAAACATATTAAGACTATTTGCTTTTTTTTCTTTGAATTAAATTTAATTGACTTTGGTTGTAAATTCCATATATTAAATTTCATGATGAGCAACATCAAGAGCATTAATTAATACACTTCTTTGTTTATTGCTATACTCCTCTATATATTTATTTAATTTAATTAAATCTATGAAATTCTTAAAAATTCGACACAATAACAATAAAATTCGTCTCTCATCTCATCTATCTAAAATATGTTAAAATCTAGACTCAATTAAAAAAATCTTCTATCTATTTAAACAATGTTCTATTTGAGTTTTATCATTGATAAAAAGTTAATATAAATTAAAACTATTTATTTAGCTAAAGATTTCTATGAACTAAATTTGTTCTTTCCGTGTACATATTTCTATCATATTGAACAGTATGATTAGATATGGTTTTCTTCGTTTTGAACAAACTGATATAGATACTTGAGACATAGTCTGTTTGTTTGTGTTTTGTTGAGAAATAAATTGTTCAAAGAATGAACTAACAACAATATATAATAAGATAGTTTAGTTGATTTTTCTTGGAAATTTAAAGTAATTAAATAATGCGACACTTAATAAAAGAAAATAGTCGATAATTATTGGTTCTATAAAAATATTTATTTAGAAAAAAATCATAAAATTGTTCGAACATAAAATTTTGAAGAATTATTATTCTAGAAGATCTTCTCATCTTTTCTATTAGTTTCACAAATGAATTATAACAAACTAAATCGAAATAAATCTATTCGATTAAAAATATCTTTGACGAAGACCAGACCATTAGCATAAAAATTTCGTAAAAATCTATTGACGAGACGTGAGGGTGTGGGTGTAGAAATGCGGTATGGGTGTGTAAGAGTTAGATGAAGACACACTCCGACACCCAAACCCTCAACTTATAAATCTTTATACATAACATTCGATTTTTTAAAAATAAACATGTTAATATGGATATTGAACAAGTGATTGATTATGACCGTTTTGATTTTCGAGATCTTGAAATTTCTTTAGGCATTGATATAGGTCGAACAATTGGTTGTGGTGGAATTTCTTCTTGTTTCTTAGTTTCTTTTTGTATTCTTTTATTTTTATCTTTTTGTCTCTTAGGTTTCCAACGAGCAACTCCCGATATATCTGCTGATGGTAGTATTGCCAATCCAGAAGATATAATTTTTGCCGGTCGATTCTTTATAGTACTATCGACTTTTTTCCATTCGTCTTGCAATGTCTGTTTAACATTTTCCATATTATTTGGATTACCATTGTTATTCTCAATGGTAATCACTACCCAGAGACCATCTATATGATTGTGTTCATTTTGTACTTGAACTTGATTGACTATTGTACGTAAACCTTTTCGGGTTTTGTGATTGATTATGTTAATACGAATATTTAATTTACGTTCAAGAAGCTTCAGATTTGCACCATGTCGTCCAACAAAGCGACGAATTTTATAAGTACGTTGAATAAGGTCGAAGGTCGAAGGAAATTCAAGTATTACGTAATTGATAGGTTTTACAAGTTTCGGTATCATCTGTGGTTCTTTTTGTGACGCCTCAATTTCTTGGCAAAGTTTTCGTAAATGATCGATGTTAAATGAAGATTCTCCTAAAAAAATAATATTAACCATGAATATTTTAATTTTTTAAGTTAATTTTCGAAATCTTTTCATTGACTAAAAATAACTTTAGTTTTTTTGTCTCACAAAGAATAAAACAGTCTTACTAACCAGTTTTTACTTGACACGAACAGCATCGTTTTGGTAATCGTTTTAGAGTGAAACCGTTAAATTGATTTGTTCGACGAAGTTGATTAATTGCTCCATGAAATTTTGAAAGATATTTTCGATCATGTACAATACAACCTTCCTCAACTGCTGTCATATCGTTTAGTTGGTCTTTGTGAGAATTTCCATTTATAAAAAAACAACAGAAATATGAGGTGACAAATTGCGAGATATGAGACTGTATTTATGTAGCAATGCAATTATGTCACTCATATGCAATGCATGTTTCGAAGTGAAAGAAAAAGATAAAAGGGTAACCGTAATAGGACAAAATATGATTACATCGTTTTGTGCAAGTCATATACTATTTCGCAATCGCGACGAATATGTATTTCAGAGTATTATGAAATAGATCAGTGTTTATGAAGTGACATTTTCAATGAATTAAAAAACAATGTCATCTGAAAATTTCTTATCATTAGAAGGATAAAATATATTCGGATCAAACGTGGATTTTATTTAAATGTATAAGAAGCGAATTACGAATTATATAAAAATAAAAAGTGAGACAGATAACTATGCCAATATATATGAATAAATACTGAAGCTAAATAAATAGATGTATAAGGGTATCACATATAAATTAGTGATAAGAAATTTAAATATCTCCGACAGATGTCTATCAAACAAGCTGAAATTTTTACACGTGATAGAGGCTTGCGAATATTTTCTTTCTCTCGAATATTGAGAGCATAATGCGTTGATGCGTCACCTTGTATCAGAAAAAATGAGTCATTATATGATAAATCATGAAACACAGGAGAGAAAGAATCATTAGGCATTTTAGGATAATTTCGATTTGCATTGAACACTACCATCTAATATTTGCATTCTCTTTACTTTGTTATGACGATTAATCTAATCATTTGGTTAAAATGTGGTTTCATAAAACCAAATGGCACAATTGACAAGATTTACCTCATTTTCAATCCGTGAGAGAAATATTTAATTAAGTTCATGAATCAATCTTGAAATGTATGATTTGAAGACCACAAGCTTATAAAAGTATCGAATCGAGCTTCTTAAGATGTTCATCCATGAACTCATACAACGACTTGATACTTGTAAATGTTTTGTTAAAATAAAGGATTAACTTCATCTTTTGTGGTTTGACTGATAATTACGTAATATTTGTTAGCTAGATGAAATACTTTCTAGTATCGAGCTATTCTGCTCAAATTTGTTAATTGAGTCGTTTATTATTGATCAAGAATGATGGTTGATCTCCATTTTCTTGAAACAGTCTTTGAACTTGAATCATATATTCAAGCTTATGCATTTGTTTCATGATCGATATTCTTTCATTTCAAATAAGTGGACGACGAACTATATCTTATGTTTAATTTAAAGGTGAATATGTAGTTCAGAAACCGTGTAATGGTGACTGTTTGTTAGAATAAAGACGAATCGATTTATACGCGTTGAGATATAACAGCAGAAAAATATACGATGAGTAAAAACCTGAAATTCCTTTTTATTCTATGCACAACTGGACAATATCGGAAAGAAAAATGATGTGTTTTGTTGCGAGAAAGAACTTTATATACGATGCTATTGAAAGGAAAAGCATCACTGAAATGTATGAAGTTCTCACTTGACGATGCGAATTTCGCTTTTTTTCTCGCTGTTGCCAATACACTTACTGCTGGTCCAAATCGTTATGTTATTATTAAGGACAAATGATCCCATTACGGTTGTGTCATTATTTTTTAATGAGTTTTTTCTAGTATAATAGGGAATATACGTCTGTAGGTGACATTAAATCTATCCGCATAAAGAGAAAAAGAATAATTTGCTTTCGATAATAACACATTAGATTATTCGATGTTGTTCAAGTATCTTTCAAAACAAACTGCTTCCAATTTCTTAGATATCGTGAATGAAAAGAAAAATCTATTCTTTTCTATAACTTCTTGATATGTGTACAAAAATCACAATAGCAGCAGTTATTTATCAAAACTTATTCAAAGCAACACGATGAGAAATATCAAGTTAGTGATGTATGTTATATTCATTGTGGTATTTTTGGCATCGTATTGCAATGTAAGCGGAAAGAAAGATTCCACCCAACCTGATAAGAAACGTAATTGTATTCCTATTGGTGATCTGTGTAACGATGTTTCTGAGTGTTGCAATAATATAATGATTCCGATGTTGGTCATTGTCTTCATTGTCGTAATAGCTGGCCTTTTGCTCGTCAGTACCGTTGTGATTGCAGTTCTAGTGGGGCTGGTGCTACTACTGATGATGGTTTTGATCGTCATCGTAATCGTTGTCGTGTTAGTATTGCTCGTCCTAATAGTTGGTTTGCTCGTGGTAAAAATATTCATCCCAAAAAAAGACAAAGATGTTCAGTAAGTACATTGTTTCAATTGTAACTGCTCGCCAGAACGTTTTGATGTTTCTTCTACGATTTTTATACTTAGTTTTAGTTTTATTTGATTCTATATTTATTGATCTCGTCTGACTTTTTTCTTCGTAGGTAATATTAAACAAAAGCAACTCAATGCTAAAAATCAAACAAGGCTATCAGTGATTATCAATGTCAGTGAATACGATTGACTTTCCAGTATTCTTCTTTCAAACTTTCATCCAGCTGTTTTTCCTCATCTTTTCTATCTTTTCACTAATTTCAATTCTAAAAAAAAATACACATTGGAAAATATGGTCCATGCATTAGACGAGCTTTGAAGTATATAAGATATTTGGATCTTCTGTTGATGTAAGAATCTTTTTTAATGTCGTTGGAACAATTTATCAGTCTATTTAAATATTGTTACTTATACGCTTTCCATGAATATCTATAAATAGAAACTGTTGAATTCTCTTTTTTCTCGACGATAATTTCTGTGTAATTCATTTTATTTGCTTTCAATATTTTGCTTTAAAAATAAATTAAGTCAAAGTTATGCGTAACTTCATTTACTAAAACCATGCTCGGTTAAGTCTTGTTCTAGAATGAGCCAATTTTCTTCCCGTTTACCGTATAAAACAGCGTCGCAGTGAGAAATTGGTTCAAAAACTTTTAAAACTAAACCACGACCACCTGAATTATCATTGTTTACTAGTGCTTTGTATTCAATATCAATTTTATATTGTTGATTCCATGCTTCAACTTTAGTATGAATAGAATATATTTTACTATCGACAATTTGCCATTCTAGTAGTTTCAAATGATATCGATCTCCACATAGAGTTCCAGTTTCAATTCGTTGACCTTTCCAACCAATAAATATATATCAAATGTAATCATCTTCGATTGTAGGTATATGATAGCTACCTAAAACCAATGAAAATTCCTTATCAACATGATGAAACTGTGCCCAAACCCAATTAAAAAGATTTCTAGGTCAAGCTCCATAATTATGATCATGATAAGCAGTAGTATTAATAGAATTCTTTTTGTTATTATATTGAATAAATCCAGATACGTAAGCACTTGGCATATAGGCTATCCAATCTAACTCTAACAATAGAGATATTCCTTCTTTTTGTCTGCAGGCATAAGATTTTTGTTGAAATGTTATTCACCAACGTAATTGACCCTCTCTTTTTAGATATAGAGCAAAGTTTCGTTGTTTTCTTCATCTTAGAGTGTACTCATAAAGTGAACCATAGACTTCTGATTGCTATTATCGTGGGAATTTACTTTCTCCTTTTGATCGGCGTGTCAATAGAAATTCTAAGCATATACTGCATTGTTGATCGATGCTTTTTTATTGTGTAAATATATCCATATCTTAAGTTCCATGTTGAAAGTTCAATATTTACAAGGAAAAATAATATGAAAATCAATTTATCTGTTCAATCATATTTCTGTCCGTATTTCTAAAAATGAAAACTTTCTATTTTGCTTAGCTGGAGAGTGTGGAATGGTGAGGGTGTTCCTTTCCACTTTCAGGACACCCACACCCTATTCCTTATTAATGAGAGTTATATTTCATATATGTCTGAGTCCAATAAGTTTAGAAAATGATCACTAATAAGTGCAATACACAATCCTCTCAATTTCAAAATGTCCTTAAAAACATCATACACGATGTAGTTTCAATACTTTATCTGATTATAGATTTTTGTTTTCACAACTAATCTGAATATGTGACATCTGTGTTTTAACAATTATTTTCCAGATGTTTCTATAAGCTAAAATACGAAAACACTTCATTTTTGTGGAATACTCTAGATTTCATCATGGACAGTTTCGAAACTTTGCACTGAAAAGAAGACTCATAGCAAAGTGAAATACATTTCTTCATCGATAATATGATCGAGACCAAAATGGTTCCACTAATTGCGATAAACACAAAAAATGCTGCTTTTTCAGGATTGTACTGACGTCTATCACAAAGCTAACTGGTTGCTGTTCTAGATTACCAAAGACGGTGTCTTAATGAGAGGAATTTTTTCCATATAGTTTTCTAATATAAGTTAAAAAACCAAATTCGTTTATCACAATTCCATGTAGAAGTTTACTCAAAAAGAAGTCTTTATGAAACAACAATATGATCGCCTATATACACTTCAGCATAATTGAATCCAAGTGAATACTGTAACAAAAAAGTTCAGTAACTTAACATTAATATAGTTCATAGAAGTTTTTTCATACAGTAGCACTTCCTAAATTTGTGAAATCTTTATAGTCTATTTCGACATCTTCATTTCTCATACCTATACCTTCTAAGTTATCTCATACTAACTAAACTTTCTTTTTTTTTTACAACATTCAGATGAAAACTTGAACTTCGATTCATGAATGATCACTTGGATCATAACTCAATGATCGTTTATATCAAAGATACTAAATGGTAACCATGTTCCATTCAAAGCGACAGATGTCAATCTCCGTTTTTGAACCCTATGCTTTATCGCACTACTTCCATCATCAAGTGTTTGTATTTATTTCATTATCAGACTATCCAAATACACCAAGCCATATAGGTTTATTTGCGAATTTTCTTTATACAAAGGAGCTTGAATAAATATGTTGCTCTGGCAAGTCAATATTGCCATCAACTCGCACATTTTCGTCATCGCAACATGTAATTGATCAGAGCTGATGATTTACCTCTCGGTGCTGTGTTGGACACAACATTCGTT